TTCGCAACGACGTTGAAGAATCTTCAATGAAGATCTCGAGCCAACTCTGCATCATCCACAGTGACAGGCTGAGCGGAGGCTAAATGATATACCAGTGATACTGATATATCATTCAGCTTCTGCTCTCGTGAGCACTGAGCGTTTTTTCCGAACCGCTCAGCGAATGGGACTTCAAGCGATCACATACTTCTAGCACAGCTTCCCGACAGGGAGCTCCTGGACAACTTGAACGAGTTCAAATGTCTCGCTAGAAACGAGGGCGAATGGACAGATGGGTTCGCACAAGCTCGCTCGATGTTGACCTTTGGATATGTGAATTTGCATGAGGATTGGTAAAGGTTACCGTATGAGATTCTTATACAGCTTCTGATATATTTATTCCAGAATAGAATGGTTCATTGACTTGCTTGAATGAGATGCGAGAATTTCGTCTGTGCTGAGCCCTCTATGAGCGACTGAAATATTTCGTCTTATACAAGGACTAATTTCGAGTTATGTTTGATCAGCTGTTGTTGTTGTTATCCGTTATGTCGACTACGAGACGGTTGACTGTGGTTCTTTGGCTTGGCCTCAATAGAAGCGTTTTCTCCCGAGCTGATGGGGATATGAGAAGAGTCTGCCCCTCGCATGCTTTCCCTATGAAGCAGGAGAAGGTGTGTTGCACGGGTTTGCCTACGTCTGCCCGCCGACTGCTCTTGCTGACTTTAATCCTAGACCTACATTCTACCACTGGGAAGTATCCTCGTATGATGAGGGAGGACGTGGGTTCCATCCCGGCTATGAGCTTTCAGTAGAAGCCTCGCGTCTGATATCGTTCCGCTCTAGAGGAATCCCGGTGTCTTGCCTTGATCGTTACGCACATCTACGAGTGACTCTCCTTCATAGAGCTTATCAGTCCCGTCCCTCTATACCGTAGCGGCTCATTTGCTTGCCGACTTAGGGCTGTAACATGAGATGGGTCAGCAGCCTCATGGGACTCGTCCCATCTCAGCGAGCAATGCTATTGGATCAATAGTTTATATAGAATTTGTTAATCATCCTATTATTCGGTAGCGTCCGTCGCCCAAAGATTCCTTCTAGGCGATGACCTCTTACCCCCCTACTGGTCTGGCCCCCACTGTTGAGCACCTCCCTGAATGGATCAAGCTCGGTCTCGGTGACAAGGAGTACATTTGTGAAGAAAAGAAGGTAACGTTCGATCCAGAGAATGTAAGCTATGATTCTCTAGTCGCCTCCTCGCAATTGCGTCCCTGTCATCTCAGCTTCCCGATAACCTGCCTGATCTCTTCAAGCACAGCAGCTATATGGCAGAGTTGCTGACCGAGAAGCCCAAACTCTACGACAAGCTCAAGAGCAAGATTACTAAGAACGGTGAGTCTCCCTCGTGTCACGCCCTGGATGAAGAACCTCTCAAGGTGTTAATCTCGGCAAATGTATCAAAACCGGTGTCGATAACCCCGGCCATCCGTCGATCAAGACTGTCGGCCTCGTCGCGGGAGATGAGGAGAGCTACGAAGTTTTCAAGGAGCTGTGAGCCCACTTGAATTCTCCCTCTCTCCTGAGGTTTCCGCACTCTAGCTTTGACCCTGTGATTGATCGTCGTCATGGTGGATTCCCCGCAAATGCCACCCACATCACCGATCTCGACTTCACCAAGGTTTCGGATACCCCCATTGACCCCACCAGCAAGTGGGCCGTGCCACAGCTGCCTGAGGTGTTCGATGCATCAGTAGATACGTCATTTCCACACGCGTCCGTACTGGACGTTCAGTCCGGGGGATCCGTCTCCCTCCGAGTGTGACCTTCGACGAGAGACGTGAGCTCGAGCGCATCATCGTGAAGAGTCTCCTGAATCTCAAGGGTGAGCTCAAGGGTGACTACTATCCTCTTCATGGGTCCAAGAGCTACGGGCCCAAGCCCGGGGGCATGACTCAGGAGCAGGAGGAGGACATGCGCGAGAAGCACTTCCTCTTCCAGGAGCCTGATTCCACTCTGCTCCTGTCGAGTGGAATGGGCCGCCACTGGCCTGATGCCCGCGGCATCTTTCACAATGACGAGAAAAATTTCCTCGTGTGGGTTAACGAGGAGGATCACATGAGGATCATCTCCATGGAAAAAGGCGCCGACATCAAAAGGATCTTCAAACGCTTCTGTATCGCCGTAAATTGTGTTCAAAATGTGTTAAAGAGTGAAGGCTACGACTTCATGCACAACGACCATCTGGGTTTTATCCTTACCTGCCCTAGCAACTTGGGCACTGGTCTTCGAGCTTCGGCAATGATGAAACTCCCACTGCTTTCCGCTAGACCCGACTTCAAGGAGATCTGCAAGAGGTTGGGCCTACAAGCCCGGGGGGACTCCGGCGTCGACTCTGTCTCTGTCGGGGGCATCTACGACATTTCCAACGAGGATAGGATTGGCAAGAGCGAAGTGCAGTTGGTGAACATCATGGTGGAGGGATGCGAAAAATTGGTTAAACTAGAGCAGGCTCTAGAGAACGGCGATGAGATTGACGATCAGCTACCGTGAAGGAATATTTTTTCACTTTTCCGCCGTTTTACGGGAATATTTCTCCCTAATACACCTCGTGTCTCCTCTCGCTGACCATGCCGACAACACGTGTCATGTATTTCCTTTAAACTTTATGTTACCAAGTTTCACCGGGAACCTCAACTAGATAACACAATCGGTTATAACATGTACAAACTCGATGATATATTCCGATATCTACAATGGTTGATGGTTAATTCGACTTAGTAACTAAGTGTACAAACACAAGGGCTCAGGTCTCCCACCACAGCCGTTGCCGATTCTTGGTCCCTTCAGAATCAGAGCTCTCACCATCGAAATCCGATTCCACCAAATCGATCAAGTCGGTAGAGTCGTCTTTTCCTGTACACGGGTTGGGCGAAGGAGGCATGACAGGTAGACCGTTGGGGCCCACAGAAAGGCCCTCTTGGGTATCGACACAGTCGTGATTAGCCGGAGGCTGGTCCTCGTCATCGTCGTCAACTTCTCTCGGGATGTCGCCGAGAGTGACCATCCGCATATTTTTTTTCTCTAGTCGCCTCCTCTCCTCAATAGAGGCCTCATCTTGAAGTTCCCACGGCTCCAAACCACCGACATACGCACCATCGACTTCGCCTCTTCGCAACTTCATACGAGGGACCGAGTCCTTCTTGGCCAGAAACTTCTTGAACTGACGGACCAAACTCAAATACCCGGCCCGACTGCTGAACTCCCTCTCGTGGAGCTTCCCTTCAATCACAGCAGCTTCGGCCACCAACCGCCACTTCTCTCCCTTGCTGTCAGTGGCGTCCATCAAGGCATCGCTGAGTTTTCCTGCAATCTTCTGTCGCTCTGAACCTGTAGTATGTGATGGTCCAGTACTAGGCTGATTCGCCACCTCTGGTGTGCGAATAGGGGAAGACTTCGACCCACTCGAGACTTCCTCATCGTGGATGTCGGCCACTTCGAAAAGTGACGGTTGCGAGGCCTCAGCAGGTTTGGGAATTTCAATTTCGCTTCCTCGTCGACGCCTCTTGCTCGCTATGGGGGAGTCGACCAGTTGTATTTTATTCCTTTTGTATCGTTGGTTAATTTCATGGAGTGATTCGGTACTGTCACCAGTCGAAGAGGCCAGTGGAGACCCAGACGCCGGCTGATGGTCGCAGCCCGAGCCCGGCTCATGGGGGGCCGGTCGAGACCGGAACACAGAGAGGAGAGTGTGCTCTACATCCTCCACCAAGGACGACTCCGCATACTTGCAGCAGATGCCGTGTGCCCATTCACCCTTCGAAGCAGCTGAGACCATGTACAGGCCGATGCGCATGTCTTCACCAGAATCGGTGGCACAGTCGACGTAACTGGGATTGATGGTCCCTAGGGGTCAGTCCGCGATGGCCTACTTCCGGCCGCATATTTGGCAGAGGCTCCTCTCGGTGACAAGCTCTCCTCCAAACTGCCGCATATCTTCAAGTGAAGCTCCTTCTGTCTTAGCTACATTTGAACACAATTCACAAAGTCCCTGGGTGCCTGAGAGGAATGATTTCGTGGCGCGCGGTAATGTCTGACGAGGACGCGCTCACCCCAGTTGTTGCCAGCACATGCCTTATGAACCTTCACTTTACATGCGCCACACTGCAGCAAAGGTGACGACGAGCCCTCGGGGGCCCATCCACAGGCGTCGCACCACTCGAGAGCAGAAGTGCGAGGGCTCAGCTTCGGCCGAACCTCCTCCTCAGGGATCTCTTGTGGCTGACATAAAAACGGTTTTTGTTGAGGAATTCAAGACAGAATAGAGAGGACCTCCTACTTCCCTCTCCCCCTTGTGTAGTTTTCGCTTTGGAGTCGTCCCTCGTGCTGCACTGCTGCTGGTAGTTGTGGTATTACTCCCTTTGGAGGTACGTCGACGGTGGCTAATCCTCTTCGGTCGGTCACTCTTAAAGCCTGCCTTACGCCACTCTGCTCTGATCTCCTTCATTTCCCCACGTAGAGACCCCTGAAAACACCATGTCATCCTCAGGAGACAACCAGTGAGCACCTTGAGTAGATGCTCTGAATAAACTTCATCAATAAGGCGCCACACGTTATCGTAGCCAGTCGCAGGGGGTATATCGTACAGCTGCGCCATCGCTTCTGACTCTCGGTCATGGTCCTAATGAGATGATCCTGGCTACTCCCATCCCCTCTGGTCGTCAGCTACCTTGCAGAGGAGCCCTTGACGTATGGCATTGACCTTAGACTGTGAGACGGGGAGGGGCATGATGGAGGTAGGAGGGCATCAAGGGAAGGCTGGAGATAGTTCAGCGGACTCAATCTATCACAAGACTCGAGGCTCACGAGTAGTCGAGACTGATGATATCAATTTTAAGGAGCACATGGTCACACTCGTAATAGTTGAGGGTGGCAAGTTGACTGTTGGTAGTAATTACACCACATCAAGAAGAGCTCTTTTAACATGGCGGTAGGGCCAACCCGAAAGCCTCAGCTGCCACAACGCAGTCCTCGGAGGTTCTACCGCTGCTGGTCGTTTCGATAGAAGACTATACTTTGACTAGCCCCCAAGGGGCTCTATGATGGTCCTACCCCTCCTGCAAGTGCTCGCATTGGGGCGACATTGCCTTGATCACCGACCCTGTTCTCTCGCCTTCTCCTGTTGTTGGCCTTAACCTCCTGCCAGCTGACAGGGCCTCATCCCCTCAGGGCTAAAGGAGTCGGAGGAAGAGCGACGAGCTCCTAGGAACCCATCTCGGCTGGTCGAGGCTATGCTCGTGTGGCACAGTAGCAGTGTTGGGATATATTCGCTTCTCTCACCTCAGCTCAGGAGTTCCCTTAATAATCATACAAGTTCACATATGAATCCGGGTCGTAATGTACAGAAATAACTCAAAATTTCCCAAAATTTCATCAGAATTTTCATATGTTTACCAACATATGAAGTTGACCGTGTGCCTATCTTCCCCCCACACTGCACAGTGAGTACTCCATCACCTAGGCGGTGATGACAGGGTTAAGATGAGGACATCTTGAGAATTGAAACACCCAGAAGTGCCTAGTTACGAAGTAACTAGGCAACATCCCCAAGAATCGAACCGGAGGACTTCTCCTTGACAACAGATAACCTTAACCACTACACCAAACCAACTCCACAACTACAATTGAGACACTCGGACACAAATGTCAATCTTGACAATGTTAATGATAGCATGACGAGTAGTGTGACATGAATTGTGCATGGGTGACTACAGTATTCCACCAAAGTAGCGCTGATACCGGTCGTACCACCTGACACCAGTGGCAGGGCAGACTACTACTACTACTACTACTACTACTACTACTACTACTACTACTACTACTACTACTACTACTACTACTACCTCGAGCGCCAATTAGCAACAGATCGATCAACGAGGTCCAGTAGATAGTCCTTGAAGGCATGTTCAGAGAGCTCCAGTCGTAGTCTCTGGTCCATTTGGAGTAGAGTGTGTGGTAGCCCTTGAGAAAGGCAAGGGAGCCTAGGGCCCAGCCACCAACCATTAGTCTCAGGCAGTGGGGGGAAAAGTAACTGCACAAACTCCCTTTTTTTCACCTCCTCGACCACAAATGCTGACTTTCGACTATAATGTGGATTGTGTCGAAGGGCGAGCAATAGCTAATCAATGTGATGATCTACGGTTGCGTTGATCGCCGTTACGCATGCCCTTACACGACTGTCCTATTCTAGTAACATCACCACCAGCAGGTCACCCAGGGCCCGAGACCCATGAGAAAAAGTAGTACTAGAGGGAGTATCCACGTAGCCTTACTTCGATCATGCTCTTCAGTGTATCGATGTCTCTCCTTAAGACCATGCAGCCTCGGACTACCATTCTCCTAAAGACCCCAAATCGTCGACTGTCCTCTCCTCCCAGAGTTTCCACCAACTCCTCAGTGAGCTTCAATGAGGGCTCAAAGGCTACATTGCCAGGGCTGTTCGTGAGGAAAAAACCAAAGTCAACATGGCAGATGCTACCTGTTGGAGGAATAAAAAGATACCCCCGCAGCGTGAAGGAACTCACCATCGTCACAGAGGAGAATATTCGCATTGTGTCGATCCCTCACTCCTAAGACGTAGCATATAACCGAGTAGGCTGCCATGGAGCTACAGAACTTGTCAAGGGCGGCCTCCCCCTCCTCCCCGGGCCATCGGTCCTCGAAATGAGCGCTCAGTGACACCCACGTGTCACCATAGGCCTTCTTGAGTGAGTCCAAGCTGACAGCGTTGGGCACTGCCTCGACCACGCCGCCGCTGCTAGTGCATAGGACTCGATACAGCCTCACAGCCGCCCCCAAGGACCTCTCCAAACTTCCTTGGGGGCACCCCAGCCAGCAGCTCCTCATCCACGATATCATCGAGAGCGCCAATTGCTCCTGCAGAATCGACATACCCCCTGCCTTCGCCACCAGCGAGGCAACTCCACCAGAAGGGACCGATCGGGATACCTCCTTGGTCCATCCAGAAGGCCTCTTCGAAACGCTCGTCGTCATCCTCCTCCTCTCTGTTGTGTGTTCCGCCGTATTGACCATAGTCGACTTCCTACTGCGACCGGGGGCGGCGAGGGACAGTAGCGACCGAGGGTAGAGGACCCCTTCAGACGACGTGCCCACCAGGGCGATACCGGTGTTCTCTTCAATGCTAGAGGAAGACTGCTCCAACGACAGGCATACATGGAAGGGCGTAGAGCTACTCCACTCACTAAGTAGGAAGCATCTAGGAAGGTCCAGGCCCCGAAGGGTCCGCCAAGTCCCATCATCACCCAACCAAGTGCCCGTCGACAACTTCACCTTCCTCAGCCGCCACTCGAGGACTTCCTTTCGTCGAGCAAAAGGGAGGGTCGCCAAATGCGTTGAGATTTCCCCCAGCTGCCGGACCAAACCCATGCATGTTGGAGCCAGATGGTCAATAGCGGCTAATTTTGTGGCGCAGCGGTCATCATCGGCGATTTGCGCCAGGCCCAATAGGCTCAAGGCCGCCTCCCCCGAGAGTCGGTAGACTTCCTCCAGAGCTTCATCGCTCTCCATAAGAACGCAGAAAATCTGCAGTAGCCATCGGTGCACCACTGCCGGAGGACTCGCCCGAACGGCCAACATCAACTTCGCTTCGGCAGAAGCCCTGCATGAGGAGCTCCGTAGAGACTTGATCGCCTGAACGAACAACAGCATAAAAACTGCGCTCGACTTTCTCTACGATGACCTCAACGATGGACCTATCAGCCCCGTCTCGCGGCGACCCTGGGGGCGGGTCAGGCTCTTCGCAATCATCAACTCCCCGAAGAGAGCGGCTGTTGGCCCAGGAATGGAGGGCGCCCTGTAGACCAGGTCGTCGGCCGAGACAGTAGCCCAACAGCGTAGCAGGGGAGATAAATGCCATGAAAACTAAAGGGATATACTTCTGTGTGGCGATGGTAAGGTTCTTCACGCTGCGGCGGCGGCGGCGGCGCAAGTGGTGAAATCTCGCTAGTTTCCCATGTGGTAGCATCTGACTTCGTTGTTTTCCTCACGAACAGCCCTGGCAATGCAGCCTCCGAGCCTTGAGGCTCACTGAGGAGTTGGTGCCACCAAGTTGATGGAGAGCTCTACCCTTAGTACCATCCCACAGTGAACACCACAAGAACAGAAGGACGAGACAGTACAGCGAGCATTGACATGATGGACCCACCAAGTCCAATAGTATCAGAGGAATTCACCCTTTCCCCCTGAGCCAGCCGATAGCTACACTTTCACTACTTAGACAACTCCAATGGTCGACAGAAGCACACGACTCCTCCTCCTGTGAGCCCGGGAACCTTCAGCGCACATCTACAGTACCTTCTCCTTCTCCTCGCCTCACCAACGACATACACCCAGTCCATCCTTACGTCGAGCTCATCAGCATCATCGCTTGAGTCATCAGAGACAACCGAGGTATTCTGGAAAGCAACGGAAGTAATACCATCTCTTCTCGAACCTTTGTGCGAATGCATATTGACATCCTGTAGAGCGTATCAACGGTCAGTTCTACACTCAGCTGGCCAGTCGGTCCCGAAGGTCCTCCAGTCGAAGACGACCATCCATTCCAGACGCACTTTGCCACCTCCCCGGCCGCCTCCTGCTCATCCCCAGACTCGATCTCCGGTGAAACACATGGGATCCCACAAGTTAAATGGTCCCTTCAAAAAAGCCCTACCTGTCCACAGCGCCCTACTAAACCCGAAATGCCTGGATGGGCTCCCCACTGCCTTTTCCATGGCAGCATGGGGTGAAGCGATGAAGGAATGGCATTCTAGAAAAAATAGGAGTTGACCGTGCGGCCCAGCTAGGGTGGCCGTTTCCCGACAATCCATAAGGGACTTCCTTATCCTAATGACGATACTCCCCAACACTTCTGCTGGCGGCCAGCCCCACTCGTATCCTCACTCCCCGGCCGGGACAAGCGATAGATCACTCGGCAATCTAGGCTGCCCGTGGCGCCCTTAGATTTGGCATTATACGATGTCAAGTACATCTCAGAGTAGACAACTGCATAGTTGCAACCACCCCCTTACCTGTGCATTCCAGTGTTTGATATTCTCCCACAACATATTGGAAACGGTAGACCTCAAATATTTCAGTCGAATATACGCACACGGTAGAATTCGTCGCCTAACTTGCAACAACCCCAGTTCAAATCTCGCGAGGGTTAATATTCTCTATTAGACATTTTCAGCTCATGGCGTACTTATACACTCGGCTCTTGTCTATCCGTAGAAAAGAGAAGTTCGCCTCTTAAGTTCCGTGTTCTTCTTTCGAGATGTCGACTGGCGACTTTTTGGATTCCGATTGATTTCGGACCTCAGCCTCGATCCCCGGTCACTCATAAGGGGTCGGCAGATGGTGATTCTTCGTGATTCCGCTTAGGGCTCCCAAACTTTAACCCCCGGGGTACAAGTACTGCTAGTCAAGAAGTGGAATAGCTTCGAATCAACATGTAGTTCAAAAACATGTTGTTCCGGCTTAAAGATGTGTTCTGCTGCTCCGTAATCCCACAAACGAGCCCAGCTAAGCTTTTGAATTCCTCCACTGAATGGTGCTATTCGCGCAAGTGCCCGAATAGAGTAGCGCACGCCCTAGACGCGCGCGTCCAAAAGTGGTTGGTGAGCATTGCTACGGCGCGCTTTCAGTCCTATTTAGGTTAGGTCATGAATATAACCCTAAAATCGGCGGGCAACATGTGGAGGGTAAGCGGGTTGAAGGTCCGCTGGGAAAAACTCGGTGTATCCTGCATTTCAACAAGTGCCGACGTTCGCACTGCTTACGTTGGGACAACCGGGGGTTTTACAAGTACATTTTTGCGCGGTCAGTTGTGTTGCACTCGGTCATGGATGCGCTCAATTGTGTGAATACGGCCCCCATCGCCCCAGGAGTATCGATGGACTGGCAGACCCTCATGGGGAACCTCCGGGTACCCCTCGGTCGGTGCCCATGCCTTGGCATTCACCTCTCAGGGTCGACCACGGTGCCCCTCTAGCGGTCCCTCCGGCTCCCCTATGTCCTCTTCAGTGGCATCAAGCCCTTATGCTAGCACTGGTGTGCCTTCACCTACTCCCTGTCTCCCTGAGTGATCCTATCCACCCCTGTTTGTCTCTCTCATGTTGTTGCCATTCAGACCCTCCTATCAGTTTCCATCGGGAGACTACCAGGCCGATGCTACTGCCAACTATGGTAACGGTGAGTCAGTCCTCGCAGAAGTGGTCGTCATTGCAGGTTTGCCCAACGCCCCCCACAGCTTTTCCAAATGGAGTATTTATCGCGAGGCTGCACACAGACAGGAGGGACTTGCGAGGCTTCAGTGAGGGTCAGTACCTTCTCGAATACCCCCGATACCGAGTTCAGGTGGGAAAGACAAATCCAGGAGAGTGTCCGTCAGCGTTTGAGTGCCGCTTGGTGCGGCGCCGAACAGGTGAGCAGCTTGGATGGTCTACGTTCGGGGGCCTCCACCGCTTTCAGGCTATGCCGCCAACGTACCCGACCTCCGATGTCGTTGGTGCTGCTGCTGTTGCTGCAGCGGTAGCAGCTATGAGAGAGGGAAAGTGAGGCGCTCCCACTACTAGCACTGCTTGGCAAGTGTTCAGTGACTGTAGGTATGAACAACACACGGCATATGGCCTTCCTCAACGTGAAGGGTCGGCTTCTGCTGCTTATGTGCATGCGTGCAGGTATGGATGCCTTTTATCAGTTCCAACCGAGACAGCCAACAGGTTGGTACGGTCC